ATATAGACAACACACAATGTAATAATATTAAGTCCTCTATATAGACAACACACAATGTAATAACATTAAGTCCTCTATATAGACAACACACAATGTAATAATATTTAGTCTTCTATATACACAACACACAAAGTAATAATATTAAGTCCTCTATATAGACAACACACAATGTAATAATATTAAGTCATTAGCACAAAATACTGAGCCTTCAACACAAAGCAGTAACATTAAGTTCTCAGAACAAAACAGTAAACCATTCATCACAAAGCAATACTATTAGATACTCAGAACAAAGATGAACCTACAACATATGACAGTAACATTTTATTCGTTGGTACATAGGTAGCTATGCACTTGGAACACAAGATTATGGAAGCCATGCTTAGCTTCAGCACGAATGTAGATCCTACAATAACAACACTTGGTCATTGCAACAACAGTAATATTTGTACTAATGTTGGTTAATATTTACCTGGCAGAAATTGAAAATTACTCTCTGCACAGACAGGGTGGCCCAATTAAGGCTTTCTAAGGGGCCATTTGGGGACCAAAAACCCTTCAAAAAATTCCAAATTAAATAAAATCATCTTATATTTAGATGAATTGTAATGTTAAGATGATTTGCAATATTTAACAACTAAGATTAAATAATCTTTCATAAATAATTATGTCTAAGTCTTTTAGATGATTAGATGATACTTTGTGAAAAGTAAATTTTTGGTATAAATCAGAAAATACCATAATTTCCCAAATTCCACAGCAATCACAGATTTAATGATTCAATCCACATATTGAAACATCAGGACGTTGATGGACGACCTTCCTCTGAGAGTGGTAATGGCTGTCTTAAGTAATAACATGGGGGCATATATACAGGTAAGATTATAATGTGTTAAATAACAAAGTATGATAATAAATCTGATATTCAAAAAGTGAAGAAAAATCTGTGTCAACATTTAAAGTATTACTGTGTAATTAATATATGAAAAAGACAAGTTATGAAGAAAGCATACCTGGAATCTCAAACTTCCTGGTAACATGGCACCAGTTTTGACACATGGCAGAAAGACGGCATCGCTCATTTGTAAGAATGGGTGACACCATTCTGTCGGCTACTTCCTTCTGAAAGGTCAAGGTCATCCTGACACGCCCATAGCGCCACACACTAGTCTGTTTGGAAATAGACTCTAGGTACCTTATAATTAGGGGAGTAGCCACGTTGAAGGGGAGGTTCCCAATGATGTGTATATTTGGAGGATCTTCCTCCCAGGAACTTATCAGTTCTTCAGGGAACAGGCGACTCATGTCAAAATACAATACATCACCCAAGATCACACGCACCCTGTTGTTGGACTCTCGGGATAAAGACTGGAAATAACAAGGCATGGTCATAGAGGGCAGTTAGAACAACACTTACATATCATAAAAGAGTACCACATACAGGTTCAAATAACAAGAAGCCAAAAGGGCCTGTATTGTCCCAATTCTCAAATCTGTGACTTCCCAAAAGTCAAGGTCAAATTCATCAAAACAGGTTAAATACCATAACTCTACATTTAATGGATCTTTGTAGGAAGATTTTAATCTACTTTACCCATGTGGCCTTCAAAATTGGTAAAGGTCATTAATGTACAAACTAAACAAATGTTCATATAGTGGCCCTGTGAGATGGGTGTTGCCCTGCGATATGTACATGTGAGGTGGGTGTGGCCCTGTGATATGGGTATGGCCCTGTGATGTATACATGTGAGGTAGGTGTGGCCCTGTGATATGTGCCTGTCAGTCAGGTGTGGCCGTGTGATATATATCTTTGATATGGGACTGGCCCTGTAATTTGTAACTGTGAGATGGGTGTCGCCCAGTGATAGTACATGCGAGGTGGGTGTGGCTATGTGATATGTACCTGTAAGCTGGGTATGAACCTGCTATCCTTCTCTATGACGACTACATGTTCCACATGTTTATCCAGTATGGCCCTAGTGATACCTCCTGGCCCGGGCCCCACCTCACACACATGTCCATTTGTGATGCGTCCAGCTGCTTTCACAAGTTTCCTGTTGATGTTCATGTCAAGTAGGAAGTTTTGAGACAGTTGTCTTTTCGCACTGAGTCGGTAAAGTTTGACAATTTCTGCCACTGTGGGCATTGGGGACAGGCGCCCTGCCATCTTGCTTTGTGCTCTAGTCAAAAGAAATATTGTTACGAATTACATCAGCATTACTACAACAGGTCCATTCTGCTTTGTATCATAGTAAAAGTATAGAGTTCAGAAAATGATTTAATCATGCTGAAGATTTTGCCCAGTGAATTACAATTAGGGGAACAGTGCTGTATGTGACACACCATCCAGTCCCAATACATCCATCTCTGAAGATTCATAAAATATATGGAACTATTTAGAAGTTCTGTCCCAGAAACGAATAATGGGACTGACTAATAATAATTTGAGGTTGTTAAATACTGCTTTATCACCAACTAGTTTGCAGGTTGTCTCAAAGCGGTTAACTGACTGATAGACAGACATCTCTACTGGAAACTAAAATGTGTGAGGGCCTTGGGAAGTGATCTCTACAGGAAAGGAAAATGATAATGTATAAAGCACAAGGCTAAAACAGAAGAGGACTATTTTCTTATGTAATCCCTCATCTTTTTCTTGAATATCAAGAGAGGTCCAATTTTCAGTATTTTATGATAATTCTTAAGTACAGAGTAATTATATGTTGCCCAGATGTCTAAAGTTAATATGACTGGGACAAAAATATTTGCCCAGTTTATATAGGGTGCAGCTTTTAATTTATGCTAAAATATTCAATTTCAAAGTTTTATTTTTTACAATAATTTACGTCTCCCTGCCAATATCATCTTTTTAAAATTTTAATTTTAAATAATTGATTTTTTACAATGTATGAGTGGTAAACTAATTATACATGTAGCGAATGATCCAGTCCAGTTCCGCTACATTCCTTTTTCTAAGTCTTCACCCCTGAAGACAATACTCATTTACAACCAAGGTTCAGGTATCCCCTTGCCAAGAGTTCATCCTGTTTATATATATATATTTGAAAAGAGGGTTGGTCAGGGACTACTAAAATCTAGATGGACGCTCTACAAGTTATATTATTTATTATTACATTGGTATTATTTCACAGAAATTATTAAGAAAAAAAAGAGTAATATCTATAAGAGCTGTTAGCCATAGTAACCATACCCCCCCCCCCAAAAAAAAGAAAATTGTAGCAGAATGGGACTGGGTTGATAACCATCAACCAGGAAGCTAAATTAAGACATTAGTATGGTAAGGGACATAACTCCTATAAACATGGTCAAAAAAGCAAATAAATATTGTTTAATAAGATATATGTAGTAGCATTTTAATTTATTAAGTATTTAATAAATGAATAACTAAAAACAGAATAAACATGCCTGCGGAAAAACTTCCTAAATTACTGATCATAAGTGCACAAAATATTATTCAAAGGAAAATGGTTAGGATAAATAGTGATGTTAGACAAATTTCTCCAAAAAGATGAACAGGTAGACAGATATCCTTATTTCCAGTATACACATAACTTTGTTTCGAAACAGTTATTTCACTTAACAAAAATTGTACCAAACACTGCTCAGGTCTACGGCATATTTATATTGCTATAACTCAATCAAAGCACACATCCATCTTAACAGTCAACATAACATTTATTTTAAATAAAAAATAAGAAGTGCAGTGCCAGAAAGTGCCAATGTCTGCAAAAGATATGCATTTGGAAATGTTTAACTAGTGACTAGAATCTAGTAGATCTTGTTCTGATAGCGGGCACTCTCGGACGATCTCGAAGTGATTGGCCGAGCAGTGCGAGCCGTTATAGCAACACATGTACGGAAAGTACGGGAAAATGCGAGTGAATTCTATGCTATACGAAGACTTCAAAAACTTTCGTCCCTCCGGTCGTACAGGATAGCAAAAAATGGCAACATGTGTTGCTCCATGCCTGCATTGATGTTCTTTTTTTTGCACAAACAATTAATTTGATATTTTCAATGAATATCCTGTATTTTTGTCGTATCTCCACCAGATTTTTATGTTCAGAAACAATCCTACATTTTTTTACAAGTCAATGTTATTGATGAAATCCTTTGATGTCCTACATATGATTTTGATATTTTCATTTTTCTCGAACTGAAAATTGTTTCCATCTAGTACATGCGCTTGGTTATTTGTCCTTAGCTTCAAAATAGCATCAGTTGATACTGATAAGTCCATACATACATATTTTGTGTTGAATTATGCCGAATTGACTTTCACAACATGTTGTGACGCGACTGTGACGTCACTGTTAACACGCGTCATCATATAGTTCACTTAAGCCAACTCGAATTTTCTGCATCTATACCACATTATTTAGAATATTTTGATTTAGTTTATTCTTATTCTTACAGTTCAGTGCACATTTTTTCATTTGTAACTACATTGTAGACATGGACACATACTGGATATCTTAGATGTAGTGTACGTATTTCATGAATTTATGTTACTTTTAAAAAGTTCTTCTGAAGTCATTTTACACAAGTTCAAATACAGACATTTTTTCTCTGAATTTTTCAACAAACACAAAGATATATTTTTTTCTATTGATTTTTAAGATAATTATTTATTTTTTAAAGGTGCGTTTTGCTGTGCCATCTGCTTCTTCTTCTTACCAAATTACTCCAGAGAAAAATATGCAGTAAATTCTCTTACAGTAATTGTGTGTATATATGTTTTTGCAATATGATCACTATTGGCATCAGAATGATTGAAAAAAAAACAACAGAAATGCGGTAAGTATAAAAATGGATAGGAAGATAATACGGCGTATAACTGACATGTGCAAGTATAAATACACAGAGTTTCAAGAAGAACGCCAAATTAAGGCTAAGTTAAAATTCTTTTTTTATGAATGTTCTTCAAGACTTAACACTTCCTCTATACTTTCATGTCTTTGAATGTTCTTTGTTTTTTAAAACTACAGAATCTCTTCAATATGTACTTTGTAATGTAATCATTATCCTAATTGTATATTTACATACAATATATCACTGTTAAAATGTAAGCATCAATTCTGGATTAAGACCTTTGATTCTTTTGAATGCATGTATTGACAAAATGCAAACACTAGTCTAATAATGGCGAAAATCACCTTTTTTATTTTCGTTCTTATACTCTTTTCAGAACTTTACGGTACCATCTGAAGAAAACAAACAAATAGACCGGTAATTGATGCTAACAATTAAAACACGAACCAGGGCAGATCCATAGCGACAGGGTTCAATATGGGGTTAGGGCAACTTGTGGAAACCGGGGTAAGTTCGGCCCTGGGGTAACTCCGACCACTCCTGATATTTTAGTCTTGAGCAAATATTTACAACTTTGAGGATTTTAGCAGTGCATGCAGTTCACTAGGCAGGACATTCTTACGAAAAAAAATGACGGGAAAACTATAATTTTAGATTACTAAAAGCGAGAGAAATATTTTTTGGGAGGGTAGAAAGGAAAATTATGACCTCACTTCTTTCTAGTTTTGCAAACATTTTGGAAACCGAAATGCTACTTATTGATGGCATATATTACGTGTAACAAACCGACAGATTCACATGATGGTATCCATACAAGCCTAGTATTGAGTTTCGTATTGCTCTAACATACAGGTTTCTTAAAATATAAATTTTGGGCAGGATTGTCCCATGACACAGGGGCAGGTTCGGCGAATGCCATACACGGGAAGCCTGACATTGGGGGCCGGGGGGAAATATGATGTTGCATGCTTTCTGACGTCATAATTATGCATGTACCCCAGACATCCTGTCAAACTTACCCCAACTCACTCAGGCTGTGCACATAAGGCCATACACTCTTCCAACATTAAAGAGTTTAGTAACTCTTCATATAAGGGTATATACGGGCAACTTGCCCCCGTCAATTTACTCGATATTTTGAAAGAAAACACCACAGGCTGGCAGGGGTTTGGGTAGGGATGAGGATCGAATCCTTAGTTATCCCCCCCCCCCCCACAACTTATTAGATCATAATTAATGGAAATAAGCAGTGACACTTGTAGTACACAGGAATTCAGTGCTGGTTTGATGGAGATCAGATGAGATTTTTTATTTTTGATCTCCCTCATTGACTCAAACCCTTGCGAGTGCCTGTGGACAGAGTAACAAAAAAATATATTAGAGTTACCTCCCTTCAACTGTATTGCTCCTCATTACCCAACATATCCTTACTGTTGCGACAATTCAATGGATTATTTTCCATTCATACCTTTCTGAAAGTGATCACTATTTCTTGTAGCGTATACACTGCAATGATTTTCGGTGATTACACATATTCACGCAAAATCGGCAAAAATATTGCACAGTCGTGTTTTGGTGTTTCGTCCATGGGCGCAGCCATTTTGTACTTTGCTGTAAATCTCGTTAAAACCGGAAAACAAAAGAAAGAAGAAACCAAACACATAAAAAATTACCTTAACATTCATAATTATTCTTATCATAAAGGTTATAATTTACTATATGATATATTTAGTTTATGTACCCTATCGATACTTTATTAACAAAACTCAAAGAGGTCAGGGGTCAAAATTTCAAAATGGAGGTGTGTTCAGAGCAGTGCGCCAAATTTAAACTGACAAGAAGGCAATGAGTGAAAAGTTTATATTTCATGATGAAGAAGAAGGCGTTTACCCTTTATGATGTCTTGGTGACCATTTTGTCGCTGTTCTCATATGTAATAGATGTTGGATCAGGTAGGAATATGTCATAAATCCAATTCGGCTCTATGGGGCACATGAATTACATGATTTTTCGTCGCGGGTATTACCAGAGACGTCTGGTATTACCTACCGAGACATTGCTATTTTTTGTGGAAACACTGCTATTGAAGAGTGTTTCACGTGCACGTTTGAGGACCTATTCGCCTGTGTACGCCGGTGGTTATTATGGTGGAATAGGGCTATTATAACGCGTACATGTACTTGCCTCGATCGTCTGTCACAGGGTTTTGTCAATTTGAAATTGTTGCCATTGCGTGATAGAAAATACATCTCAAAAGATATGTTGGAGCCTCCAAACATATCTAAAGCTGTTTTCAAACAATTCTCTCTAACTGAAAAATTAGCTAAAGTTGTGAAGTTATAATGTCCTAAATACATATAATATCCCCTTGTAGTGATCACCTTGTTTTAAAATTTGACTTCATTTTACACAATAACACTCCAATAAGTACTACAGTCCGCAGAAATACAATAAGGGAGACCACGAAGGAATGAAGAATGATTTAAAGGACATAGTATGGGAGCTAGCTAGGATGTATTGATTAGTGACCTGAACATCATATGTACACCAAGTTTACGGAAATATTTCAATATTCTGTAGATAAGCGCATATACCATTAAACAAAGGAGTTCAACAAGCAAACCTGAAGGACAAATCTTATATTCCACTACGAATGAAAATTGACAAAAAGCATAGGGCATGGCAGCTGTTTATGGAAACAAGAACAGAGGATAAATATCATCAGTACACTAAACTAAGGAATCAAGTAAAAGACATAATTAGAACAGCCAGGCGGGAAATGGAAAAGCAAATTGCTAGTAATGCAAAAGCAAATCCTTAACAATTTTGGAAATACATAAATTGAAAACGGAAGGTGAAAACGGGGATTCCAGACTTGAAAGGTTTAGACAGAAACATGTCGAAAATTTGCAATAAATGATAAGGATAAAGCTGATGTACTTGCCAGTTTTTTCAGTAGCCTTTTTACGGAGGAACCTTTAGACAATATACAGACAATGGCAAATACAGCTATAAAACATCCGTTTGAAAATCTAGTGTGTGCAGAGGGAGGTGTGGGAAAATTACTGTCCATGCTGGATGGGAATAAATCTCAAGGTCCAGATCAGATGCTTCCGAAAGTCCCAAAATAACTACACTCGATTATCAGTAAACCTTTAAGCATAATATTTAACAAGTTTCTTCAAAATAGCATCGTACAGTTTACATGGAAGAAAGCCAATATAGCTTCAATATTTAAAAAAGCTAGGGTCTAAATCCGTCCCAGAAAACTATCCACCAGTAAGTCTTACCTCGCATAGAAGTAAACAACCTCTTCAGGACAAAACAATTTGGATTTATTGCAAAAAGGTCAACGATTCTTCAGTTATTAATGGTATTAGAGAGCGAGGATTGGACTGATATATTGGATCATGGAGGGGAAATCAATGTTATTTATATGGATTTCATGAAAGCGTTTGATAAGGTTCCGCATCGCAGATTGATTGGTAAATCAAGAAGCTATTGAATTAACGATCAGATTTCTAAACGGGTAGAACATTTTCTGAGCAATCGAAACCAAAGAGTACTTGTTAATGGGAATTCTTCTAAAGACCACCTGGTACTAAGTGGTATATACCCCAAGGTTAGTCTTGTTTGTAATTTAAAATGAGAGGTGCTAAATGGCTGGCACAGAAGCAACAGTCAAATTAGAAAACGTTGCATCTGAAAAGAATATAGGCATTTTAGTAGACAAGGACTTTGTGTCTCATATGCATCAAGCAGTCAACAAGGCGAAAGGTCATTTAAGGTATATTAATATTTAGATCACGTTACATTTAAACAGTTTATCAAGGCACTCGTTTGTACACACTTAGAGTAAGCGGCAAGTGTATGGAATCCGTACAAAGTGAAACACATTGAAATGATTGAAAGAGTCCAACGAAGGGCTACAAAGTTAATACCAGGATTGAAGGACTTATCCTACACGGACCGTCGTAAAAAAACTTAGCATTCCGACACTTCCATATATATCAAAGACTGAGAGGCGACATGATTAATGTCTACAAATTATTAAACAACTTCCGCAATAGTGCAGTTACCACAGGAATCTTTGATAAAGACACTTCACTGCGAACAAGAGGGCATTCAGGAAAATTAAAGAAAAAGTATTGCAAACTTGAAATCTGCAAATACTTCTTTGGTCTTCCGTCTTTTGATGCTTGGAATAGTGTTCCTGAAGAGGTCGTACAAACAACCACAATCAGGGGATTTGAAATTGGACTGGACAATTATTGGAATAATTTTGAACTAAAGTATAATCAGTTGGCTGGACATAATTTCGTTAGCGGAAGTAACAAATAATTTGTATGCAAATTGTAATATTACTGATATGTACTTAGAGGCAGTATATGCCTGCGTCCATCAATTATCCTATTAAATCCTATTTAATACATGAATATTGATTAATCTGGTATTTAACATTAGAAATTATTCATATTTGAAATCTTTGAATGATCATGAGTCAAATTTAATGCATAACATTTTGATTCATATGGATACATGTTCATAAGTATAGATATCATGTTGCGTTAACTTAACACATGCCATATCTATATTGTTTTTATCTTATTTCAGATATTCTGCTGATCGTGACATTCCTTCTTGATGGCCACCAGATATGGGCTTCAATATCCATGGCATTTGTTGCTTTGTCAACATTCCTCATGCAGATTTTCAGTTTTAGCTGGCATGCTTCTGACAAGAGTTTAACATGGAAAACATTTCTAGTGCATGCCTTATTTCTGGCACCTGCCCACAGGTATGTTAATAACAATAAACAAAACCAAAGCATGTTTTTGATTTAGTTGACATGTATAAGCGGTTTGAATTCACAGACAGTAACATAAATTTGTGTTGTAAACCAAAGGTACAACAAATACACTGTATATATCGATCAGCAGTCTTTTTATTGTTAAAAAGGTGATGGCAGTCATTAATTAATCATAGGATAATCTTGAAATTTACCATGCATGCAATAAATAAAAAGGCTTTTAAGACTGTCAATATTGCCAACATATTGAATTATGAAATATATTTAAAATCTTGAGTTGGAAATATAATCCTGTAGGTGTCAACTTTCATTATGTCTTCAAAAAACAACACGAACGGAACACAAATTGAAATTGAATAAACAAAGAACTCGACTAAACATCCGGAATCATTCCTTCCTCATGAAACTGTGGATATATGGAACAGTCTGCCATCTGAGGTTGTAATGTCACAAACTATGCGAGCAATTGAATCCTGTCCTCCATTCATGATTGGAAGATCAGATCCAACCACTTGTATATAACTACAGGAAATCAATTAAGGCCACAAGCTTTTAAATTTGATATTGAACAATAAGTGATGACGATAAACAAGAAACACTCGCACAAACATAGAAGACATTGTACTTTGTATATATACCACCAACATCACTTAAATTTGAATCACAAACCTATATGTACCCAGGGCTAGAAATTAATTTTGAGTCAACTGGGGTAGTTGTTTCCTATTTTTTCTAGACCATGTTCCAGATTCCACTAACCCGATATTATTTAACACGATAAGCACTATTTAATCTTGACTAGCTGATGATCTGGCTAGCGGTTTTTGGAACCACTAGTTCAGCTGGAGATTTCACTATCAGGCTACCCTTATTGCCTAGCCCTGTGTACCTGCCATATACAATAGATGTAACTATTTGTCATCATTAACTTTTATTTACAGAGCTGTGTCATTGTCAGCAAATTAAGGGACTTGCAAAAATATTCTCAAATCATGTTTTTATTACTGAATATTTATTTAATAAATAATAGGTGATCCAACACTCCTAATTAATGTAGAACTATGCGGTAGCATCCTAGGGTGGATCAGTGAGAGGATTCTATATAGAGCTCCTTACTAATAAAACATAATGGCGAAATAAAGGAATCTCAACACCACAAGGACAGTAAATCACACAAAACGTCCTTGTGGTGTTGAGATTCCTTTATTTCCCTATTATGAATATTTATTTATATCACAGAACTGACAGCAGAAGAATGTGTAAATTCCTATAGTAATCTGTATATCTGAATTAATTCATCAACCCTGTCCTTTGAGATCTTTGGGTGCTATATATCTGAATATCTGTAACACTTAATGGTAATTATGGGTATGAAGTTGAACCTCAAAGAGTCGCATTTAGCATCAATGCTATGATGTAAGGATAGGAAACCACAATATTATAGGGGAACACATGTTGTCCATTTGTGAAAATAACGTATGGTCATGGTTAATCTCTAGATTGTGATTCACTGTTAAAGGGAAATTAAATCATTCAAATTCTGTAAAATGTAAAGATAATTTTTCACTTGCATTTGAAAAATAAACAACTGTTTGTTGAAATCAATTCTATTTTTTACAATGTTCTTTTTTGTTTGCGCTTTTAAAGGTATTTCCAGGCCATACGACTTGGAATTCGAGCAAAACAGACAAGAAGCCGACAGGACCTTGATGCTGTGTTCCGTGCCAATAACGACATCTGTCTGCTCCGACTCATTGAGTGTTTTGTGGAGTCTGCTCCCCAGCTTATCCTACAGTTGTACATCATATTGCGGTACCAGCAGTTCAGTTGGGTGCTAGGTAAAACCTAACGTTAGCACTAGTAATAAATATATCAAAAAATCTGTTATCAATAAAAAAAAATTAAAGGTAATATTTTATCAAAGAATAATCTATCAAAAAAGCTTCATGATTTTGATGCAAGAAAAAATGGTCAGGATATATGTAACAGACCTCAAAGGGATGGTGATATATACCTAAGAGTTCTGCTGATTTGTATATACACTGGAGATGAAAAATATAACTTGCTGGAAATTTCACATTTCTGATAACATCTCAGATCCGTGAAATGGTCAGAAGGGTACATTGTGTCATGACCAATTAAGGCTGATAAGCCTATAGCTATTCATGACTGTTCTTCAAATTTAGACTTCATGACTATAGGTACATTGGTCGTGATACTGCTTAGACATATTTTAACTTTCTTTATAAAACTGGCTCTGTCTTAACTCTTTATGTGTGAAATAATTCAAGCATTTGTTTAACTTAGCCACATTAATTATTATTTACCATCAACATGTTTGCTTTGCTTCTTTGTTGTTTGAACAAATATTTTAGCAATGAAACAATCAAATCATTTACATCACTTGTCTAGAAGACATGTATGCATGTATAGTATTCATGAGTGACATTTTACACTATATAACTTGCATTCTTATTTCCTGGCCAGGGCTGTCAACTGTACTGTCCCTGACGTCGATGGCCTGGTCCATGACGGCCTACACAGACGGTCTGCGCCTCGCCTACAAGGATAAATACAACAGGAAATGGCTGAGTATGCTGGCCCACACTACCTGGCAGACAGCAATGATATCTGCACGTGTCATGGCGATTGTTGTCTTCTCAACCCTCTACCAGGCCTGGGTCTTCTTGGCTATGGGTAAATGTTCCACATAAAGCTTGACTGTGGTGTGTAACAAATCTAGCATGATTAACTTGTATCCATAATTAACTGTTTAAATAATGTTCATACAAAATGTACTACAAATAATCAGTATTAAGTACTCTCCCATTAATAATAAGGAAATATGTATAAAGATCTTGAAAATAGTTAATATGTTACCATGGGATATAAACAGACTGATTTGACGTATCTAATAGTCATTGTTTTAGCAAACCTGGCATGATGTTAACTTATGTTTACAATTTAATATTTACCCCTGTGCTGTGTAATAACCATATCTAATTAATTTAAAAATGTACTTTCAAAAATTGTTGGCTGTATTGATCTCATCTTATCTTGAACATTGCTTGTGCATTGAGTTTCAGTTGCCTGTTTCATATTTAAACACTGACAATGTCTTAATGCTAGCATTATCAATTGATTGTCTTTGCATTTATGGAAATATATGATGGTCAATTTTTGTTTGATAGAAGATCAATTGAAAATCAAATCACAAGTAGGAAACTAATTGAAATAGACATTCAAATTTGGAATTATTTTTATCAAATGATGAATGTAAATATATGTACATGAAACAATTTCACAACTTTACTAGTATCTAAAAATATGTATGTTTATGTTTGAATGAAAATAAATCTTTGTAGGAATCCACTGGTGTGTGATGACCTTCTGGATAACACTACAGAACGCAGACTTCGGCGAGACAACATGTGAGAAGCGCCTGTTTAACAGTGTGTCCGGTTTTATCTACATCTTTTGTTTCCTGAACCTGAAGGACAGCCGTGCGAGGTGGAGGATACTGGCCTATCATGTGGTGGTTCTGGGGGAGAACTCTCTACTGGTGCTGCTCTGGTTCTTAGGGAGGCCAGACAACACACCCATGTGGATGGAGGTGTCTACTATAGCCATCGTCTTTGGAGGATATGCCGTCGGTAAGAGCAAAATTTAGGTGAAACAGTATTTGATATAGGTACAGTTAAACAAACACCACAGCAGAAATGTTTCTGTGTAAAAGAAGTCTTAAAAGTAATTATTATATAAGATCAATTTATATAAAACTATATAGAGTTGGACCTAGTTGATGCTCTTGTTTACACAGGGATCTGAATGTCTAAGATTCTATTTAGTAATAATTTATTTACACATTTTGATATAAACAGTTTAATTGAGCCGTTAGGCATAATTTCTGACAGATAGCAAGTTTTCAAAAGGATTGGTGCCTGTTTATAAGTAAGGTTTTCTAGCCTCTTGATAACTAGATTTTCTCTTTTTTTTTCTCTGATGGATAAAAAAAATATGTTTTATTGTATTGCATGCAAAAAAACTAGTTGAAAGTTTGATCAATAGCGGGATGGGGTACAGCCCACATGGGCCAAATGTGGATTACCTCCCTTTACTGGTTTAGAATTGGAATAGTGAACATTTTACGACTATTCGAGAGATGTTCTGTGTTAACATTATAAAATCTTATAGCAACCATGTTTATACTGTGTTACAAATGTTTTTACAACTACATGTATAAGGATTAACATATTCAGGAGTACAGAGTAGGTGTCCCGAGTTGGCTACTCCTTGGTCCATGGAAAACTCCCATGTAGATATTTCTTCAGTGCTTATGATTAAGTAGCATTTTTAGGGTTCAGAAGCCATATCAGCTCTCGTTAATAATGTAGTTTACAAAATTAAAACGAGTAAAATATTACCGTTAGTAAAAGGTTTCTGGTTCCCCCACTGCCTTACATTTAAAAAGGAAATGTATTTCATCATCATCAAAAATATATCCGAATGTCTCTATTGGTATGCTCTTATATCTTCCAACTTAAACAAATAGTCCATGGACAGATATCCTGTACTGAGTAGTTTGCAGTCTTTCAGTTGGAATTTTAAACAATAGCAAGATATTTTTCTTTGAATAAGATTTCAATTTTAAGTGTGTTGATGATTTAAAATATTAAGCATGAGTTACCACTCTAGACATACAGAATGAATAAAACTGATATGAAGGTCAAGGTTTATTGTCAATTCCAGTAATTTAAACATTTAAATTCTTTGACAAACACATTTTAATCCTCTGGTTCTGTTAGACCCACACAATATAAATTGTCCTGGTCTCAAAGTTAGTCAACCACCGATATATATTAATTCATAATGTTGCCAAGCGTGCATGAAATAGGAACAAGTTTTGTCCCAACCACCCATGAAAAACCAGTGTACTTACCGCCCACCCTACACATTTATTTCTTGAACAGCCCTATGGTTTGCGAGTTAAATGTTTAATGAGTAGTCGCCAAAAACGAAAGTCAAAATGTGGAAAAGACAGTATTTAATTCATCAGTTTTATAAATGCTGTCATTATGCTGACAGGTGGTGTGTTCATGATGGTCTACTACAGCTGTTGTCATCCGACTGGCCCGAAATCTGAACAGGACAAAAACGAGATGGCCTACTGGTTCAGGAGGTTCGGTCCCAGGGAGGTAAAGTGTCTTGTACTAATCTCTATCTATAATATTCTCTAACTATAGATGTTTAAGTAAAAAATTATAGTTTATATCTGTCAGATGTTTTTTACTACAGTATTATTTATATACATCTGTTTTTCTTGGTTAAATTACTAGTATTTTTCCAATGATTGAATATTTACTCATCACTTTTTTTGTTTTTGTTTGTAGAGCAAGCCAAAAGATGCCATATTTGAAGTCCCTAAAACACCAGCCCATGTGGCCGACTGGCTGAATGCTTCTGTCAACCTTAGTTTGGCCTCGAAAGCTGACCGTCTGGATGTGTCACATGACCAAAGAGGTCTCACAGAACCACAAGAATACTCACAGAGTTTGGGTCGATCTGTGGTTGGGAGGAGCTATGAAGACTCGCCAGTAATGTTGTACCAGAGATACAACGAGCCCAGCCCAGCCTCTACTCTGATGGAGAGTGATGGAGAATTCACAAAGGAGTCAACCAAATTGTCCTACATCAGTGCATCCAGCTCGCGACACCTCATTGATTCCTCCTCCAATTTGTCTATGGACTCAGCAGACAGATACTTTAACTCCTTCAATAGAAACAGGTCCAGCAGCTCGGCCACCACAGACCACCAATACAACTCATCAGATTTGGAGACACCACACAAACCTTTCACCATCAGCGCCATAAACGATGTGTCGGGGTCCTATCTCGCTCCTAAACACACCTCTCATGATAGCTTTTACTCCTCACCAGAGTTCAAATCTACAGACATGTCTCCTTTGGACGCCAAAAAGTTGTGGGAGGAATCACAGGGCCGGATTGATGAGACTGTAGCACAGACAATCACCATAGTAACACACACTGACCTGGACAGAAGGACCAGTCATTCCACCATAACATGGAGAAAAAACAGCCCAACTGAGACTGATTCATCTCAGAATTCTAACTCTCTACATGGCGAGTACAATGAGACAAATGTTGACCACTCTGTGTTGCATAAACAAACCCAGTTAGGTCAGGGAGACAGTCGCTTAGGTCTGACCACACGATCACAGTACAATGGTGACCCATCGCAGACACCAAATCACGCTAAATTCTCACCAAACATCCCTCAAGAGGAGGACAGGTTCAAAATTCTCAATTCATCTCACAATCAAGAGGTATCTTCAACTCGGTGTTCTGACCACCTAGACGGTTCATATTCGCCATTCAACTCAAAATTCGTGAGTGACCGGGATGAGGAGGAGCCCTACTACCATTACAACATGTCAGGAACACCTCTAGTTACAGAACAGCCAACCCTTTTCAGTCCCTGGTCCCCATCTGTGGAAGACTCTATCCCTTACATTGATGGAAGTGTTGTACATGATGAGGGACAGGACACAGTACATGAATCTTCAAACAATAATGAGGGATCTGTTCTATCTGACTGGTTTGCCGATATTTCATCTCTACACCACACACAGCCTGACCGTTTCTGGACATCTGGCATAAACAACATGTCATGTGACAGAGACAGAAGTAATCCTGAGATATCTACGACAGGTGAGTCATCTCGACTATCAGCAGACAATAATTACACTGACAGTTCTGAAGAGCCAAGGAGTATCTCAAGTACATCATTCCAAGACAGAAGCAGAGACAGAAGCCACTCACTGTCTTTGCCCCCTGACTCTTCCATCAGTCTGTACCAGTACAGTAACTCACAGCAGGGCGAATCTCATGGGAACTCCTATGTTGACAATCTAAGGACAAAATCATCACATATGACCTCTGGGTACTGTGGTAGTAAGGTCAATATTTCTGATGTGACAGATAGGTCATGGTCATCTAGGTCACAGAGTTGTGAATCGGGAGTAGATAGGGGACAGCAGTCATCCGACAGCAGATACAGTGGTACTAGTTACACAGAGTCAGACTCGATGAATATCTCTCCACATAGAGATTATAGTCTCTCCTCTAGGTCTGATGCTATCAGCCCTATTTACTCAAAGACAGTTCCAACACTAGAGGACAGTGGCTACCATCGGTCAAAATCCACCGCCTCGTCCCTGTCAGGCACAGACTTCACACAAGATGTCAGTGTGTCAAAATCAGGAGCTGATCACAGCATCGAGTCAGCATCAGCTGGGGATTACAGTTGTGGGTCAAGGTCAGCTGGGGATTACAGTTTGGGGTCAAGGTCAGCTGGGGATTACAGTTGTGGGTCGAGGTCAGCTGGTGATTACAGTTTGGTGTCAAATTCAGCTGGAGAATACAGTGTGGGGTTAAATTCAGCCGGTAATAATAGAATAGAATCTAGTTCAGATAAAGGTTACAGAGTGGGGTCAAGGTCATTTGGGAATTACAGTGTGGGGTCAAATTCAGCTGGTGAAAATCCATTGGAGTCTAGTTCAGATGTAGGTTACAGTGTGGGGACAAGGTCATTTGGAAATTACAGTGTGGGATCGAAGTCTGCTGATATCTACAGGTTGGGATCTAGGTCAGATAAAGACTACATTTCAGGGGCAAGGTCATTTGGTAACAACAGTGTGGGGTCAAGGTCAGCTAAAGATTACAGTAGGAAATCAAGGTCAGATGGAAAATATAGTGGGGAGTCAAGTGTAGATTATTCAAAGTCAGCTTCAGACATGTCAAGACAGGAAGATCTTTTCACAAGAACCAAGAGTCTGTCAAAGATGGACACATCAACTAATGGATTGTACCTGAGTTCGTCTAATGTACATGGAATGGACATTTCTAAGGAGAGTTATGCCAAAGAACATAGTTACCTTGAAGACCAAATTGTACCAAACAGACAGGACAAATCTGAAATATCTAATGATTCACTCAACATTGATTACTCCAGAACATCTGTCCCTGGGAATGACTCCCCTGGAAACAGGAGGAGAAAGAGTTCTGTGAGATCAACATCGAAATCACCAAGAGATCGTCTGCCCAGGAAACGTTCATCATTGTTCAATGCTTCTGTAGGCTCAGATAACAATTCTCTGTCTGTCACTAAAGAATCGCCCATCAGTGTGCATGATATGAAGAAATCACCCCATCGACTTGGCAGGAACATTGATTTATTCAATATCTCAACCTGGAGAAACAGTTTGGATATAGATGCAAATGAAGGTTTCACAGGAATCAAAAGCTTGCAGTATGTTCCACCTGTGACTGTCATTAATAAACCTCTTCCCATTACCAAACTCACAGAATCTCCGTACAAGTTCAGGCCCAGGAAACCCAACTTGGCACTGACTCAATTAACAGAATCTCCTTACAAATTCCGCTCAAAACCAAATGAGGACATTGGAAGGATTAGAATTCCTTCGGATAAAGAAAATGATTTATATGTACACCGCAACTGTGGAGCTACTCAAAGTGCTAGGAGGTCCTTGCCAACTAAACCCCTATATCTAAAAGAGGCTCCAAACGAATACAATGGTCATCAGGCAAACACAAGGAGGAAGTCAGACATTCCATCCACATTTCCCTGCTATATGTATTCCTCTGACGGAGAAACAGAGGAGGACTCTCCCGGACACCGTCAGCACAGAGATCCAGCAAAGTCCGGCAAGGCCCGACAGGTCCTGGGAGCCCTAGAGAACACCCCGGGATTCTCACCCATCATTGTGCCTGAAGAACTACACCGAGTGAAAAGTGTAGAATTCTTAGGTAAGGTGATTAAACCCGTTGTAAGCACACCTTTGTCTGGCCACAGGCTGAATAACAGTTACCAGCAACTGGATGTCTCAGTGGAGTGCTTCTCTACGGTAGAGGTGTAGATAGGTATGATTGCTGTACGTGTTCGGCATCATATCAGTCAAGACATTACCCATCCTCAAAATACATTTGGTTCCGCTCTGGATACCCATAGTCATCCATGAACTATGTTTTGACAAAATTGGTCGCTTTTTATGCCACCACCTGAATATGATACAAGTAGCCTAGTCCGTTTCTTGATGAACGTGAAAGGAGTTGAGTGGCAGCAAATTGGTAAATTTGACTGTCTAAGTTTGATTGCAGCTCCTCTGTAATCTTCAAAGGAAAGAGCAAGCCAAATGATAGGTCATCTGAATATAATTAATGAAACCAATTTAATGGCTTACTACAAGCCTTCAATTTTGTTATGACACATTCCAGGAGTACAGAGAAGATGTGTATCGTGAACAGAACTCAGAGAAGATGTGTATCGTGAACAGAACTCTTTGATTTCAAGGACAGTCTATTCCAAAAACTAATAGCTGCAATGACTTTATGTCAGGCAGCAGTGATATAAAATTGATATTAGGATTTATTTTTTGTACTGAACCCTTTTTACCTCACTTGCCTAAAAGGCTGTATTTGATGTATAAATTTTGAATAAAACTAAAAACGCTATGGTAAATCTTTAACTGATCATGAACCACTGAAATGCTGCACGATGACATCACAATCAACTGCCATGAAATGGCTTGAAATGTTGTCCAGACACATTAGTTTTCTAAATTGTCTTTAATTTTTATCCTGTTCCAGTACATATCACTTTATATCACATTGTTTATGTGCGGGGTCGGGTTTCATCATGTATCTCTAAAAGTGATTTTTCTGTCAAGTGGCTATGTTTTACTGGTTGTGTTTAATTCTGTACCTGATGTTGTTTTTAGTGTGAGTCGCATTGAATTATTTCTGTTTATTGATGCCATAAGACCCTCTTGGTACCAGAGAGTTGGTTATCATGAAATGAAAGCATTAATTTAAGCGATAACCCAGATATATCCATCCTCGATATCCAGGGGTTACGCTCACTTTCCCTCTATAAACCTGGAATATGTCAAATCAAAATTGAAGGCTCGGTGTGAGCCACCTTGTTGATGAAACAAGAAGACTAGTTCGATCCTTTGGTAAAAGTTGACAGGCTTTGAAGTCGGGCGTCTCTCCTTTGTAATCTTCAAAGGACAGGTATCAGCCTAGCGATTGGTCAGTGTTTTTTTTACCTGAGACCAATCTAACAGCTATCTGAGTGCCTTCAATTTTGCCATGACTTATTCCAGGGGTGTAGAGAGCGAAAGTGAACGTAACCCCTGGATATCGAGGATGAGATATATCCAATACTCGCTTATACTCAAAACTGTTTATTATCCGAAAAATATATCTGAGTTGGACTGCAGTTCTACATTAATTATTACAATCTTAAATAACCAGCAACAAAATGGAATCATTTCAATTAAGCCTGAACAAAATAACAAGTTTGTGATCTTGTATAAAAGGTTTGTCTGATCAGTGTTTTAATACTAAATTATATATACATACTCAGTGATTTTTCTACCTCCACTCCACAGGGCCTATGTCTAGTGACTTTAAGAAAATATCACTGACAAAAAGTATGATTTGGGGAATATAAAGTAATTTTTGAGTTGATGTATATTGGGAAAATACATCAGAGGTTATCTAGGGGAAGGGGCCTTTATAGGGCCACAAGTTCACCCTTAATAAGAATCACTGACACTGTATGTAGTTTGTACCTACAAAGTATATATACATATGAGCTGTTAGTCCAGCCACCAATAGGCCAGTTGTTCCACTTTCCAGCCAGTGTCATTTTTTTGCCTTTACTTTCTTGTCAGAATTAATAAATCATTTCAAAATCCATATACTCCTAACTGAGAAGTTGTCTGAATGTGGCTGTACTAACCAAACTCATCTGTACTGGCTGTTATGTGTGTATACAGTATATTACATTGTGAATAATCCTACAGCATTGTTAGATTGGTTGTGAGCTCGAGGTAAATTTTAACCATGATTATTTTTATTTTATCCATCAGTAGATAGTGCTCCTATTCATTTTACTACATGTATCTCCTCTTTTCTGATTCTGTTTCTTTCTTCCTAATTTCCTAATACTGTCAACTTTTGTGTTGTTTCAAAATATTTATCTACCTTGTAACATGTACATATTAATTCATCAATCATTGTTCAAAACCCTGGGGACTGCTAGATTTATGAAACTTAAAAAAATGACAAATATTTCATGGTGCCAAAATTGAATGGTAAAAAGATCTAGAGCTGAAAATAATTTGGAACATGTACCTTTTGAACACAGGCAAAGTTTTCAAAATAATAATAAGGTTAAAATAATCAAGATGTTGTTATCCCTTGCCAAAATATAGACACATGTGTGACACATATGCTCAAGTAAATGTAAGTGGGGCATCATCCCCTTCTAATATGTGTGACACATTTGCCTTTAGGATCTATAGATTGTGTAATAGATAATTTTGAATAAAATGTATAAAAGCACATTGATTACTATTACCTAACTTTGAAGTAACTCGTTGACTCAACATCAGTAGTAAATTTTGACACATTGACCTCTGTAGTTTGTGTAAGAGTTAATTTTTAATAAACTTTATTGGTATATAGATCAGCAGTGATCACTGTTTCCTGATTCTGAAGTGACTTAAGATAAGCAGTAGACTTTGACTCGTTGACCTCTGTATTTTCTGTAACAGTTAATTTTTAATAAACTTGGATCAGCAGTGATAACTTGTAAACCAAATTTTGAAATTACTCGAGATTAGCAGTAAGTTTTGACATGTTGTGCCCTGCAGTGCAACAGTTAATTTTGCCATGTTCAAAAGACACTGATACCTCAGAATCAATAGTATACATCAGGATATTTATTCGTTAACTGTAACATGGTGAAGTGTGATCTTAGTATTTCCCCTATCAGGTATGTATAGACTGCAATTATACCTCGTATATGTACAACTGTGAACAACAGTATTATTATGCAGAGTTGTTCGTCAAATAAATCAAAATATTTGGACCAATAATTATTGTCATGTAGTTATTAATTACATGAATAAAAAGTCAAAAGACTGTGCTTGTATTGTTTCCCACTAATTGTATCTGATTGATGTAAGTATGGAGATTGAAATAATGTCAGTGAAGCTAGATGCCACTCATTCCACAGACACGTGTTGTGAGAGACATATAGAATCATGTTTTATATTGTAGTGCACTGTAATTCCACAGACACAATGTGTTGTGAGAGGCATACAATTATGTTTTATATTGTAGTGCACTGTAATTACACTGACACATTGTGTTGTAAGAGGCATATAATCATGTTTTATATTGTAGTGCACTGTAATTCCACAGACACGTTGTGTTGTGAGAGGCATACAGTCATGTTTTATATTGTAGTGCACTGTAATTCCACAGAGACGTTGTGTTGTGAGAGGCATATAATCATGTTTTATATTGTAGTGCACTGTAATTCCACTGACACATTGTGTTGTAAGAGGCATATAATTATGTTTCATATTGTAGTGCACTGTAATTCCAGACACATTGTGTTGTGAGAGGCATATAATCATGTTTTATATTGTTGTGCACTGTAATTCCACAGACACATTGTGTTGTGAGCAGCATACAATTATGTTTTATATTGTAGTGCACTGTAATTCCACAGACACATTGTGTTGTAAGAGGCATATAATCATGTTTTATATTGTAGTGCACTGTAATTCCAGACCCATTGTGTTGTGAGAGGCATATAATCATGTTTTATATTTTAGTGCACTGTAATTCCAGACATGTTGTGTTGTGAGAGGCATACAATTATGTTTTATATTGTAGTGCACTGTAATTCCGCAGACACATTGTGTTGTAAGAGGCATATAATTATGTTTCATATTGTAGTGCACTGTAATTCCAGACACATCGTGTTGTGAGAGGCATACAATTATGTTTTATATTGTAGTGCACTGTAATTCCGCAGACACATTGTGTTGTAAGAGGCATATAATTATGTTTCATATTGTAGTGCACTGTAATTCCAGACACATCGTGTTGTGAGAGGCATACAATTATGTTTTATATTGTAGTGCACTGTAATTCCACAGTCACGTTGTGTCGTGAGAGACATACAATTATGTTTAATATTGTAGTGCACTGTAATTCCAGACACGTTGAGTTGTGAGAGGCATACAATCTTGGTTTATATTTTAGTGCACTGTAATTCCAGACATGTTGTGTTGTGATATACATACAATTATGTTTAATATTGTAGTGCACTGTAATTCCAGACACGTTGTGTTGTGAGAGGCATACAATCATGTTTTATATTGTAGTGCACTGTAATTCCAGACATGTTGTGTTGTGAGAGGCATACAATTATGTTTTATATTGTAGTGCACTGTAATTCCAGACACGTTGTGTTGTGAGAGGCATACAATTATGTTTTATATTGTAGTGCACTGTAATTCCACAGACACGTTGTTTTGTGAGAGGCATACAATTATGTTTTATGATATTGTAGTATATTGTAAATAGGTAGTATATATAATTATATAGCTGTGTGTGATAGGTCTGATGTATGAATATTAACAATCAGACTAAGGTCTGGTGTACAAGTATGTTAGACTGTTTACCCGGTAATAGGTCTGTAGTACATCATTTTCGTCAGATCTTTAACTTGTATACATTGTAATCGTAAACACTATACCCTTTTAGCTGGTGGCATGGTAAATAGTATGGATATTTTTATTCCACTGTAAGTGAATGTTAATAGTATATTTGCACTGATTTTGTGTTTTAAATCAAGTGTACCCGAGGTATAAGTATTAAATCAAACAGATCTAATCTGTGCACCTGTAAAGAATTCTTGTTGAATGAAGACAAAATGGTTTCTTATAACAAAACCTCCTGTTATATTTAATGTTTAAAGTAATTAACACCAGTCGTAATGGAGTAAGTAGAATAAGTTTATGTTGTATATACATACTTCTAATCAAGTGTAGATTGTGGATCGGGTGAAGATTATGTGTTAATATATGTAACTACCATCTTGTGTTACTGTTATATAATTAATTTGATATTAAATTTTTGTAAACAAAAAACGACTTGATTTATATTTTTCTTCCAAATAAAAACAATTTACAATGTTTTTTCTAACAGAACAGGAATGAAGTGAGATGTGGTATAAAAACTCTCATTCATTTATGCCAATAACAGTATTACACTGTTCGTGATTTTACTGACTAATGTAAAGGTAATTATGTGCACTTTTATACGACAGGTCTTTATTAGCTGTCGACAATATCATTTACAGTTATATCTAGACATGAAAGCAGACTTGAATTGGACAGCCTTTCTGATTTAATCTAAATAGTGCCCAGAGCCTCGAGACGATTGCCTTTTTTTGCTGCATATCACTTCACCACAATTTATTGGCTTGGAAATCTCTATAATGGGCTATATTTGAGAATTTTGGAAGATTATGTAATCATTCAACCTAAGGCACTTATAAGATCATGTAATTCAGCATTTTATGTTAACTTGTGATATAGGTTTAGAAGAGGTCCAGCACTAGCTCCCTCCTTTCATAACCCAATTCTTTATATCCTAGATATAGATATAAAAGTACACATCAGCTACTCTTGTTGTAGGACGCTGAAGTACCAAATAACGGGATCTGTTGTGATCACTGAAACATCAATAAGTAACAACTAGAGATCTGTTGTGATCACTGTTACCTCACTCTTAAGTAACAACTAAAGATCTGTAGTGATCTTTGTTACCTCACTCTAAAGTAACAACTAGAGATATGCAGTGATCACTGTTACCTCACTCTAAAGTAACAACAAGAGATATGTAGTAAACACTGTTACCTTACTCTAAAGTTACAACTAGAGATCTGTAGTGATCACTGTTACCTTACTCTAAAGTAACAACTAGAGATCTATAGTGATCACTGTTACCTTACTCTAAAGTAACAACTAGAGATCTATAGTGATCACTGTTACCTTACTCTAAAGTAACAACTAGTGATCTGTAGTGATCACTGTTACCTCACTCTAACGTAACAACTAGAGATCTGTAGTGATCACTGTTGCCTTACTCTAAAGTAACAACTAGAGATATGCATTGATCACTGTTACCTCACTCTAAAGTAACAACTAGAGATCTGTAGTGATCAATGTAACCTTACTCTAAAGTAACAACTAGAGATATCCAGTGATCACTGTTACCTTACTCTAAAGTAACAACTAGAGATCTGTAGTGATCACTGTTACCTTACTCTAAAGTAACAACTAGAGATATGCAGTGATCACTGTTACCTTACTCTAAAGTAACAACTAGAGATCTATAGTGATCACTGTTACCTTACTCTAAAGTAACAACTAGAGATATGCAGTGATCACTGTTACCTCACTCTAAAGTAACTAGAGATCTGTAGTGATCACTGTTACCCTACTCTAAAGTAACAACTACAGATCTGTAGTGATCACTGTTACCTCACTCTAAAGTAACAACTAGAGTTATGTAGTGATCACTGTTACCTTACTCTAAAGTAACAACTAGAGATCTGTAGTGATCACTGTTACCTCACTCTTAAGTAACAACTAGAGATCTATAGCGATCACTGTTACCTTTCTCTAAAGTAACAACTACAGATCTGTAGTGATCACTGTTACCTCACTCTTAAGTAACAACTAGAGATATGTAGTGATCACTGTTACCTCACTCTTAAGTAACAACTAGAGATATGTAGTGATCACTGTTACCTCACTCTTAAGTAACAACTGGAACACTGACAGGTCAGTAAGGGCCCCGTCTTGTGGCAATATATCCCCAATAATCATCAACAAGCGATCTGCCCATATAGCTGAGCTTGACGTTTGACATTTGGACTTCAAAAAGAATCGCAAGAAAGCATTTAACATGTACTATGATGTGGGTCTTGTTTCCTTCCACCTCCATATTTGCTGGGCTAACAGAAATGTAAATACCGGAGCAATACTCATTTGTTAGCTTTGATTTGTTTTATTTCACCTTATATACCTCCTCCATCAAGAGCCAGGGTCAAAGTCAGAGATCCACTTTGTCTTTGATCTTTGGACCCAAATGAACTTGACCATTAAACCAGTGACCCTGATCTTTGGTCAGTTGACTTATTCTTTAATTCACACCAACTTTTACTTCTTAATATCATAACAAAATGTTCATCAGTAAAAATACAAAACTTGACCTTGACCCTTTGGACCCTGTGACCTGGACCTAAGGTACAAAATGTAACCTTGACTTTTGACCCAGTGACCTTGATCTTTGGTCAATTGCTCCTTCTTTAATTCTGAGCAACATTGCTTCAAAGTGTCATAGCAAAATGTTCACCAGTGAAAAGCTACAAAATTTGACCTTGACCCCTGACCCGATGACCTTGACCTTAGGTCAGTTGACTCCTTGTTTAATTCTGATCGACTTTGCTTCATATTAGACATAATGTCATAACAAAATGTTCATCAGTGAAAAAGATGTAAAATTTGACCTTGACCTTTAAACCTAATGACCTTGACCTTTGACCTTTGACCTTGACTTTTTACCTCAATCTTTATTTTTGTGAACTGAACATCTTGACCAAGTTTCATGTACATCGGTCATAAGATACCAAAGTTATCAGCCAAGAACAGAATTTGTGGACGGACAGACAGACAGAGTGATTACTATAGGGCACCCGTATCTCCGATATGGGGCCCTAACTAGAGATATGTAGTGATCACTGTTACCTTACTCTAAAGTAACAAATAGAGATATGTAGTGATCACTGTTACCTTACTCTAAAGTAACAAATAGAGATATGTAGTGATCACTGTTACCTCACTCTAAAGTAACAACTAGATATTTAGTGGTCAGCGTTACCTCACTCTAATATAAGGTAACAAAAACAGACCATGGTTATCTTGCTTTTAATTAATCAGTTTCCTGTTTTACTACTATCAGTCCATACACTATAAACACATTGTAGATGTGAAGGTTTTATTGACACCAGTAAGACATCAGTAACAAGTACTTGTATAATATATTAACAGACTTTTGTACATAGATAGGTACCACACCCCTGTGTATCACAATTCACAACACATGGGACACGAACATGTAAATAATAATATTAACAGAACCAAATAAAAGTATTTAAAAATGAAGCACTTAGAAAGGAACAAAATTAATACCTGTTATTTTGTCCTGAAAAAAGGAAACAAGTAAATCAAAATAGAGGTACACAGCATCTTTTATCATAATTTACACATATGTATCTCATATTTCTTTTCTGAATTGAAAATTTTCAGGATCTGACTTGTGGATCTGTCAAGCACAAATTCAATTACAAGACTGTAAATGATTTCAATTGTGGAGGTAACTATAGCATTTGTTTCCTTTTCAAAGATCATATTTGTCATTTACCTGCAGAATAAATATTCTCTATCTTAGATAACTGTATGGTTTAACTTACAACACCAATATTTGTGTAAGTCAAATATGACTGGGTTTTAACAAAACAACTATATAGCAAAAACCTTAAATCTTGCTTAAACATAATAAAATAGATTCAAATATTTTCATCTATTATTAGCAATGAAATCCTATGAGTTGATAGTTTTATTTAGACCTGAACAACAGAAATGTAAATATATAGTGGATGTCATGGAATTAAGATTTTTATAACCATTTGTGTGAGTTAACATCATGTATAACCTCCAAGCTTCTGTATGTTACACATAATAAACAACTCTAACCACAACAGAAATTAAGCATCCGAGGGCCTCCTGTGCCGCTCGGCCACTACCCCCATCCTTGCAGTGAATAATGATAGGCCAGCCACCACCCTCCACCTGTAGCCTGCAATCAGAAGGGCTACGGCACTGACAAGCACATCCACAATCTGAGGTCAGGTCAATCCCTACCTCCACCTTACATGCAACCAGGTTTCTCTGTTGTTTAACTGGTAATATATAAAATCAACATAAATCTATGATTCACCCTATCCAAGGACTTATAAGGGAAAATGATATAATAAAAAAGATAACTTAAATAATTTGACAATCAAGAACAGCAATATACATGTATTAGGTCTAACATTCTGAGATGGATGATTTGAAAAACTCCAATGCGTCATGGGGAAAGTGTATATGTCTCCTTTACACTACCGGGTAATCATGAATGACTACCGTGTGGGTTCGTCTCCTCTACACTAATCATGGATGACTACCGTGTTGGTTTGGCTACTCCAGTAATGGAATGAAACAGCATCATCATCAGAATACTTTTGTATATACTGAACACTTTCAATTAAATCAATCATCATTAAGATGTATTTATGTACACAAAATGCCGAAGCGAGATTGATTCCAATATTCTTGAGTAAGTGGTACTTATTTGACACTTGAGATTTTGAAATCGTCCATTCATCAGTCTCTCTAATTAACCATCAGGATCCTACTCCATCCTTGCACAGTAAGATTGGATATTCACAGCCATAGTTGATATTTTTCAAAAATTATTTCAAGCGATGACAGTGCTTTAACAGTAAATAGCATGATTGGACAAGAGGAAGCGAAATTATCCAACACTGTCATAGAACATTGTCAATTCAGACTTCAAGACAAATGAGAAAACTCGATTTCTGATAACATATGTATAAGAATTTCATCACTTTAATTATTTTCAGTCCCACACATTATTTTATTCACGACTATTGTTCATAGATTAATTGTCTGAAATAGCAAGGTTCAACTGTACATAATAAAATTTCATTCAATAACAGTCCCTCTACTGCAGCATTCATAGATCCTACTAGCAGGTATGTATCATCATTGCACAAACTTTCAAAGAACTCTTATGGATCTTGAAAATACTTCTAAAATCAAGTACATATGTACATTTTTGTACAGGAAGACATTCCAAGAAAACCACTATTGATGTCTTTGTGGAAAAGATCCAGGAAGCAGAATGTTTCTCTTAGCTTGGTCCCTGTATTGTACTACAAATGTATTGTTAAGTACAAACATGGTAAAATGCTGATAACTAATCCACCTAGTTCTGATACCATATATAAATGTAATCTATAGCGACTCTAACCAATGTATCCACATTTTTTTAAGATTATGTGTTATCTACCAAATTTGTCTCCCTTTGTCTGATTTCTTTGTCAACACTTGTCATTGTCAAAGTTGTCAGCTTCATTCCCAGTTCTCCCAGTCCTCACCCTACAAAACATCAAAACCATCAGTTGTAAAATTTATCAACATGCTGAAATAGCTGAGGGATAATTGATAGAGATATAAGGAAAAATTGAAGATATGGAAAGGAAGGTTTGTTGTGAAAAAGATCTTGGAACACTGATTTTTTGAATGTGTCACAAGCATTAATTTATGATAATGAATCAGTATGCGTTCTCTGGGTTTTTTCCAGTGAAAATATTGGCAAAATAAAACCCTTGCTCTTTGACCGTAACACATTTAAAGCATGCCAAATTGACATTCTTTACACAAAGACGCTCCACTAACTCATTTTACTCCTACATTCACTGGGTTTTTTCCTCTGAGAATCTTGGCAAAATAAAACAATTGCTCTTTGTCAGTAACAAAATTAAAGCATGCCAAATTGACATTCTTTACACAAAGACGTTCCACTAACTCATTTTACTCCTACAAAACTTTGAAAACCTGTTTATTTAGAAAATTATTAAGTTGAGAATGGCTAGAACAATTTCATTTAACTCCAAGAAAGTATTTCACTTACATCAAACCCGAATGTTTTGAAATCTAAAATAGTTTGACACTCATCAGAATATTGCTAAAAGCTTTATTTAGAAATTGATTTTCACCCGAAAAAATGGTCTACATGAGTTTTTGAGAATTGGTCACATGTATAGGAATCGGCCAATGTGATTGCAAGAATTTTTATTCAAGCAAACAACAAATCTTTATAATCGAAGCATCATCTATTACATAATTTTCAAAATTGGTCAGTGAGTATAAGAACTTACCACATCACCGGTTAGTTTAGTGTAGTCTGCTGCTGATAAGTTAAGTTTTTTGGCAATCTCATCAGCAGCTTTCATGTCTTCTTCAGTAAGTTCTACATCAAAGTCCTGTTCCCAGTCATCATCAGTACTCACACCGTCTGTAACAGGGTATATAACATCACATAACATTCATAAGCCTGCTATCAACCTATTAGTATATCTTGTTCTTTAGTGTCCACAACAAATTCAGAGGTGTATGGAAATTGGTGATAGGGAGATTTCTGGATGGATTCCAAGTGTACACAGATATGAATTTATAAAGAGGACAACTCTCAATCTTTTTTTTTTCATCAACAATTCTATTGGACAGCACTTACCATTCTTTCATTAAGCTTTAAGGATTCCTACATTTCATACTGTCCAACTCTGAGGGATGGATGTTGTGTAGGTCAGTACTCACTTTTCTTTAAATTATAATTTTTAAGAGACTCCCACTCACCATTCTGTCCAACTCTGAGAAGTGGATAATGTGTTGGTCAGTACTCACCTTTCTTTCCATTAAACTCTCGGAAACTCCTACTTTCCATTCTGTCCAACTCTGAGGGATGGATGTTGTGTTGGTCAGTACTCACTTTTCTTTAAATTATAATTTTTAAGAGACTCCCACTCTCCACTCTGACAGCAGTATGTAGGACACAACAGTACCCATATTTCTTTCTGTCTGACTGACAGAATAATCCATTAACTTACCTTTCAATTGTATTCCATCCAAACGTGGACAGGTCGGTTGGGTAGTACTCACCTTTCTTTCCATCCGACTCGGAGGAGGGCGAGTCCCGGTCAGGGTTGACTACTACTACATCCCCTTTCTCCTTCACGGAGATCTCCAGAGAAGAACGATCACCATGTGTCATATTTTCACTGTCATTTACATCAGCTTCTGTTTTTTCTTCTTTTAAAAGTTCTGTTGTTATTTGCTCATCTGGACGACAATCACTGTCCCCCTCAGGTTCAGTTTTTGAGTCCTGTTCTGTTTTCTTTTCATTCACGGAGTCATTATCACATTTTTCTTCCTTTTCCTTAGCACTTCTTTCGACCTCTTCATTTTCTTTGGGGATACTTGTTTCATTGTTTATAACAGATATATTTCCTTGTTGCAAAGATTCATTAATTGCTTCAGAAGTCACTGTCTCGTCTTTAGAAGTACCCACTCCTCGTAATTCTGGTTGGGTTTCCTCAGGTTCTATATCTACCTTGTCTGGTTTGGGAGCCAGTCTTTCCTGATTGGAGACATCCAGGGAATGTGCACCTTTCACCTTTTCTTTACTACCCCCCACTTCCTCATCATCGCTTTCTGGAACACACAGAATCAAATTTAGTATACCAATGTAATTCACTAATTATGTTGAGTACCAAGAGTGAAATTATCCGCTGAACCAAAAAATGAAGAAGTACAATTTTATCATTAAGAGTTCAAAAGTATTTTTTCACTGCAGGATCACAAATATATGACTGATATCTAACAAACTACAATCAAGGTTCATGTCAGAACAGTGAGTTGTGGCAGGTTATATAAATGTAGCACTATCCTGAAGGCAGACAAGGGCAAAGTGATGGGTTGACAATGATTTCTTACCATCCCAGCTGATAGAATCTTCCTTAACCTCTGCCCTCTCAGCCCTCTTCATCAGGGCCAACTTGCGTGCCTCATCTAGATGAAGTTGGTTCACCTTGTAGAAATATCTCTGCCAGAAGTCTGCATGTGAGATTTCTGACGGCACCTGGTATGATGGGAAAGTTGTTGAAATTTCTACAGTATATCTCTTTCACACATCTTAATAATATTATAATATATATAGTGATAGCCATGATCTAGTTCAAGTTTTTTTTTTAAAATTCTTCCAATAAGAATACTGTCAATTAAAATGGTGACATTTTTATGAAAATCTTTTCAAATTCAAGAGTACATCAATGTTTTGATTTTTACTTCATACTAAAGTTGAGAAATTAATACTGTTCTAAAGATCATCTCTCTCTATATATATATGTATTACTGTATTGATAATTGCATACACAATTTACCACAATTTCTGAGATCAGTTGGCTATGTTGTAACTAAGAACTGTTATCTCATCTACAGGCCAATTTTTTAGGTGTATCATAACTTGTATGATTGTGTCATATCAACATAAAAATATCAAATATCCTTGTGATATTAACTAAATGACAAAGAGAAGAACACAGCGACCTGGTACTTTCATCTCTTTAAAGACTCTTCAAGGGAAGAGTGTTTATTTGATATACATCATACACATTTAAAGACTCTTCAAGGGAAGAGTGTTTATTTGATATACATCATACACAATCATGTAGACAGGAACAACACAAAACAGAAAATGATGATGTCATTCTGAACAATGCATAATGATGTCATTCTGAACAATGCATAATGATGTCAAAACTTCAGTATTGTATACTGTTCATTCAAATGCTGACCATCTCTGTTTCATAATTACCAGTTTTGTGTACAATGCTCGGACTTCAACTTTGGATACCAAGAGTTCTGATACATCTCCTTTCACCTCATCCATGCTGAAGGTTTTCACCCACTCCTGAAACGCTTCTGGGTCTCCAGAAGGCTTGTTGCAGTATGTACCAGGATCAACTTGTACAGCATGAAGCCGAGCCTATAATACAAGGGTCCTATTCATAAACTCATTGATAACTCAATTTAAGTCAATACATTTGTATAACTGCATCTTCAGGAGTGTTAAATAAGTCAGTTGAGGCATATAATACAGTAAGATTGTTTAGCTTTAATTTTGGAACTATCAGATAGAATGTCATGGGTATTACATAAGCTCTGTCATTAAATGTTTCAGTATTGTAAATCTATTATTTTTTGTATACCATGGTACGGTATGTGCAAATCATTTAATGACTATTAAAATCTTTGAAAATATGAATTCTTAAAATGAAATATAACACCTGTGTTTTGGAATAATCTAATACTGGTGATGCAAAAATATTATTTGAAGTAATGAGGTATAAGGAAATTCTGCCTAATGCTGAAGTGATTGGCTTGCAGAGGTTTAAACACCAAATTTGTTTCATTTTTATTTTTATTTCTCCGAGTTAACTCCAACTGCTGGAAGTAATTTGTAAGTAGATATTTTATTCATTTAAATTTACAGACATCAAATATCATCAGAACTTTAACTAGCAAGAAACATTATGTTTGGAACTCATTCATGATTGGTTTTGTTTTGTTTACCGTCCTATTAACCGCTAAGGTCATGAACACTTTGGGGAATTTAGAAAAAAAGTAAAGTTACTAATGTTAATTCCAACTACAGATCATTGATTGTGAGCACGTAAGACAATCACACATCATATACCCGAGTGTTTTATATGAGAAACAGTGAATGACATATCATATGTGGAATTACCTTAGCCCTGTCAAACATTGGATCAGTGGTGGGTACAGGTATTGGCTTATCATATTTGTCTTCTGCCTCCACTACGAGTGACTTTGTTAGATCTTCCAGAAACGATGCAAATCCATAGCGTGGACCACCTTCTTTTTCCTTATCATAAAGAAATACAGTGTGTTATATGTACTTATGCTATAAAATTCAACATATTTTTACTAATATTTATATATAATCAACATAAATTTTCATTTATTACATTTGGTAGAGGTGTCATCATTCATTGCAATGCGGTTTTACCACCTCTTTTTGCATTCAATTTTTTTCACATAAACACATTTTCAGTTCTAAGTATCTATGGAGAAGTTCATAAACCAGTAAAAATGGAAACAAACAAAACATTTGAAACATCATACACACAAATGGAGAATATTTGGCAAATTCATGTGAGTATGCAGCATAATTCCCTCAGCTCAAACTCAAACAAAAGAAAATTGCAGTAATCCAGGTGTATTGAATTATTTATTGCCTAGGTCAGGACCATACTATTTTTTCACGTTAATAATTAGTTCATTTCATTAATTTAACTCAGACAAAGTGGTCAGTAAGTAGCTACAGAATATTACCTTCATTTCCTTCATTTTCTCTGAAGTCATTGCCATCACCTGAGAGGTGTCCTGTTGCATGGTACATGTATAGTCAGATAGGTCCTTCTTCACCATCTCGATGGCAGAGACCGACTGAAAAACAGTAAATCACCTTAACCTTTGATACTTTTAATCAAAATTTTGTATTGAATTTTGTAGCAAGACAAAAAACTTCAACGGGCGAGATCCTCAACTTCTTGACAAATCCTCTAATAGTCTGTATTATGATTAAGACAGCGTCACTGGCAAACAATCAGTGGCGCGTATAATGAACATCACATACAAGAGATCCTACACTATTTCATATTATGTTGGTATTTAGTTTGGTCAGAATTAAATGAAAACAGAGCCAAACTTTTTAATAACCCTCCATGGCCACATCTAGTGGTTCCGGGTTGTTTCGACCGAAATCCCATTCGCCCTACTAGGTTGTTTCGCTCTAAAACAAAAATATAGGAGAGACACATTGCTTGGTATTTTCTTTCAATTTTAGTAGTTTTAAGTCACCAATTAAGTTTTCTTAGTCTTTGATATCATTAAAATCAATTTCATCAAAAAAAGTGCTTGTCTTGTGTTTGAGCAAGTGTGACAAACGGCAGCTGTGAAAAGCTGACTCCGCTCTCACATAATCTACATGAAATATACTTAACACCAATGCAGAAAGTCATCAATAATTTTAGTTGATATATTTAAATATTATTTATCATATAAGCATATAAATTACATTTTTTATGGCGAAACAACCTAGGAACGGGATTTAGGGCGAAACATGTACGTCTTATATTTTCTCTTAGCAATGTTTAGCAATATTCAGTTACCAGTGTCAGCTTATAAAAAAAAAAATCACAATGAATCATTTGTTAATAAGATATCGATTAACCCATTAACACAATCAATACTTGCAGACCATGTAAATGAAACGGTCACTTGCATTTGAAGTCGTATAAAAATAATATATCTGTTTATAGCCTCCAAGTCATCATTCACTAACCGACAAAAAGAAATTCTATCTGTCTACTGGCCACGGTAATATAAATTAACAGAGCTCGAACTGATAAGAAACATGCTTTTCGATGCGTTACGGCAACAACAACGCAAATAGCAATGTCTCGCAAGTCATCCATCATGCCATTTGTAAACATGACGTAAGAAATACCTTTTCCTTGGCCGTCTGGAGCCAGCTCCCCCACCAACTGCCACCGTCATCTTTTCTGTAACATGAAAATTGAATATGCTAATAAACAGTTATATTAAGTTCATAACTAAACAAACTATCAATTATGTCCGAAGGTCTATGCCAAGTTTGTAAATATTTGTTTCACTTTGTGTTTTTGACATCTTACCCGTCCGCCATTTTGTAATCTCTATGAACATAGAACAAGTATTGACGTTAAGATCAGTATAAATAACTAGTTTTGACATCATTATATTGTACATTTATTAAAAAAAACTTGATAAAGAATGATTTAGTTAAAAATTTAGTTATGTTTCTTAATGAGGATCAAATGCGTTGTATATTGTTATAGTTTAGAGATTAGACGCTCCTACCGCTAGATGGCGCTTTCTATGTTTATCAACATCGACACGTGCCATTGTAATACCTTATACCCATGCCACCACCCACTGACTTCCGTGGCCCGTTAGTATTTCTTTTCTCAACCATCCAGGTGCATTTTTTTGTCATATAATACATCCTTTCAATCAATAGAAACAAATGCATGTGTTTGACCAGCATATTTGAATATGTTTTTAAATATGCTGTCGTGCTGGCTGAGAATCATAATTTATTATTTATCAGGTGATACAGAGACGTATACTACATGCATTATACGTCTCTGGGTGATACATTTGTATTTATTTATTTATTTATTTTTATCTAAAATATTTTATTGCCTATTTTAATCAGCAATGGGATTGGCCACAAGTTGCGAAACAGATACGGGGCTCTCCCTATCTACTGTAACGTATGAACGTAGTGTAAGCTTGATACAATGTAAATAGTTTTAAGCCCTGCGCAACCGGAGTCCGTTGCTGACAGGATATTCTGCTGGCAACGTATCAATTGAGAAGAGGACATTCAGACGTCTCAAAAATCTCAAGCCTTCTATCGATGTTCAACTACAATCAGAAAACAGGCGATATCGTGTTTACAAATAGGTATCGTATTAAACCGAGACGTATATATGCTACTTATATGTATATGAATTAAACTAGATGAAGAGACTTTGTCTCCACAGCTTGAACAAAAACAATCTTATCCAAGATCTCAGCTGGTCCCCACGTTTTGATCGTCAATTGATGCCGATCTGTCCGTGAAAAAAAGAACACTTTGTTTCCCCAAAAAGTAGGCCTCCCATGGACATGTGCTCAGTATAAAAGAAAACTTCTAATCATAAGTTATCTACATCTTATTGAGTCACACTAGTATTTCATACGATAAAGTATGTTTTGCAAGATTCCTCTTTTATCTATGTTGTTCGATCCTCTCTGTTTTCTCATTAATTCTAAGCCTTTTCTTATTTATTCGTTTGATTTGTATCCCCCCCCCCCCAATAAATGACCATATTAATGAATTGTTACTACGTATTCCAGGTGCGTGTTAACATAGCCAGGGTTATAAATAAAACCAGGTCCGAAAGATAACTCTATCATTGGATTAGCTCTGGTTGCGTCATTTATCATCTGAGCCGAAGTTTAGTTGTCATCAATCCTTTCTTATTATGTTTATGTTTTTATCCCCCGCAATTTGTGTGCGTCAATTAATTGACATATTGGGGGTGGGGGTTGGGGGCTTATTATGTTCTGATCAATAAGCAAATCAGAAGTCGGTAGCTTAATTAATTATGCGGCATTATGCAGACGTCGAAACCTGATACTTAATTGACAATAAATCAATCAGATGTTGGAAGTCTCATTATATGTACGTTAATATGCAGGCATCGATTGGTCAAGTTTAAGTCTAAGTTTGATTGTTAGTTTGCTGCGTGTATATTTGGTACAAGTATTGAAAAATACGTCTACTTAAAACTGCATCAATGAACAACTGATATACCAGTAACATTCCACGAAACTTACTTGTTATTGACGGAATTGAAGTGATTTGCATTCGACCATCATGTAGTACGATGATATTTTGGCATTGTTTCTTGTTTCCATCGATTTGTACTAATTCACTATAGTCTGTCCGCTCAGTACCATTTACAGTGTGTTTTATTAGGATTCCCACGAATTTATGTCTTCTACATACGATGTTCTGGCGTATAATTTCCATCATCAGCAAATAGTTTGACTAGAAAAATATATATAACAGGAAGTGTATTTAGGACACTGTTTAATGCTATATTTCTATTGTTCCATGCTGGTGAAAGCTCCTCATCTACAAAAATGGTTTCTCTGTAATTCAGTACATTCCAGTTTATAGAGTAAAAGGAGGTGACACACTTTGTCAAATGCCTTACTGAAACCTAGGTACATCTCTATAGCAGCAGTCACTCTACGTCCGAGCTTTCGGGCTTAGCCCTTCATCAGAGCTTGGATGGTCCTCACCCTTATGTCACATCAATATTTGAATACAGAAATACTGAAACCTATATGTATTATATCGATGCTTTTCCTTGTACGCAGCTTCTGACAAGTCTTTTAAAGCTTCAATGATACGAGTTGTACAAGAGAATCAATGATCTAGCTAGAACCACAGTGTGTTTGCTAAATAGGTTGTTTCGGTTCATATGCTTTATTAGTTTGTCCCGGGTGATTTTTTGTACTACTCCGCATGGTACGTCCCTATCATCGATCCACTTCGTCTTTAAATATAGGACATGTGTTATCTTTTACCATGCAATTGGTAATCTTCCTTCTGTATTTTGTCATAGAAAACTGTAAGGACTATTCCAAGACTCCATACTTTAGACTATTAGTTTCAAATTAATATATTGTAAGGTCCTTGAAGTCTGTTATGGTTTATTTGTACCATGACATTGATCACCTGTTCTTCTGTTATGGTTATATTTTAGCGGTAATTCGCATGTCCCATCTTCTATTGTGGGACGATTGTCTGTATTGAATAAAAAAAAGTATCTAGCGAAATATTTGTTCAGCGTGTCTTCGAATTTCGTAATTGCTTGATTCACTGAATCTTACAGGATATTGCCAGTGATCATGAGTGATACGACTTTGGGTTTTAGAGGGTTCGTCCTTAAACTACCCTAGCTGTTGATATGACGTTAAACCCTATACACCAACCAACGTACAATAGTTTGGGGTTGGTTGTCACTATTTCTTGAAGACCTTTCCCAAAAGCGTACTTGACGAATTAAATGGTTAAATATGCTGTCTTCATGGCTTCCTAAAATGAATAAAAGTTCTCCGTGTAAATATCGTTTTTGTTCGAATGTTTACGCGAGATTCCTTGTCAGTATACCGTAGCTTGGTTTTGGAATCCTTGTTTACTATTATTTTTTATGGAATGCTCTCTCACGCAAACTTTAATGTTTCAGCTTGATTTGTTTGCAGAGATAATATATAGGATTAGGTTATCATGAACTTTGCCCGAGTTTCCTCAGGCCCTGACACCAGACTTATATCAGGGGCAGAGGAATCTCAGACTATCATGAACTTTTTTTTTTTTTTTAATTTTGGATCAATCAATGCATACATAAAAAATTAGAGTGAAGTTGAAAGAAAGTGAAATATGGTATAAGACCGACTGAGCATGCGCGAAACTGCCAAGGCGGTTTTTCTACTCGGCTCTCAAAATATTTGAAGATTTACATCGAAACATAGAATTATTCATCACCGTTGCAGCAAATGTGTTTTGTGTGCTAACTATCAAGGACTAAGACACGAAACTGTGAGTACAAAATGTCGAACTTTGAAAATAACGCCAGATTTGAACCTATCAGCGAGCTGTTCACGGAACCGCCATTAGCGTTCTTTAGAGAACGTGACTTTTTCGGGGAACGGAGACCGAATCCCTCTGAATTCATAACCCATCCCGAAATGTATACTGCTCTCGCTGAAGTTATAGATCCCACCCATATCATTGGACTGCAAAGAATTAGAGGGTTATGGCGCATCTACGTTGACAACCTAGATGATAAATGTGAACTCCTTTCATCGGGTTTCCCGCTAAGGGGGCACACCATGGGCGTCCTTAAAACCAACCCAAACCGTTTTGATAACGAAAACACCACAAAGGTCAGAGTAAAAGACATCCCTCTGTCTGCGGACGATGGACAGATTGACCGGTTCTTTATTTTGAAAGGTCTGGAGACGATAGGTAATATCACCCGAGAGAAGCTCCGTATTAACGGAAAACTCACGAACTGTGAAACGGGTGATAGAACTTTATTGATTCTTTCACGCACGCTTACAAATCACATCCCAAAATTTGTACAAATTGGCAGATACAAAGCCAGGGTATCCTACTATGGACAGGTAGTTTCAGACAACATGACTTGTTCGAAATGTCTCCAAGATGGCCACACATTTCGTCAATGTCCAAATGACTGGAAATGCCGGTTGTGTAACCAATCCGGACACAAACAATCAGAGTGCCCATCACCCTCTGAGGTACCCCAGTCTGACGGCATTACCAGCGAAGCCGAGAACCGTGACGAGATAAACACCAACGAAAATGAAAACGTACGTGAAGACGACTACGACAGTGATCATAGCTCCGACAACGGCCCGCTCCCTCAAAACACTAATATTGACACGCTCATCCCTGACAGTGATGCACATAAAGAGCGTCGTCAAATCAAAGTGTCCACAGGAAACAGACGCGTTGTAACGGGCAAATCCAATAAGGTCGCGACACCGTCCTCGGTACCCAACAAAGCGCCTGGACAAAAGTCAGGACAAGGCCGGACCCCACCAACCCCAAGTGAAGAGCTAAACACAACAACAAAAAAGGTTAACTCAGGCTCAGGTCCACCGACCGCCGGTAATAAGCGAAAGCCAAGTGGTACCAGCGGTCGACCCTGATCCGACACCATGTCTAACCTGTTATTTGGTTATATTGAACTGTTTATCGCTTTATGGACTAATGAGAATGACAACGATTTACACAAAAATGAACGCTTGGAAACTGAATATGACGATACTAATGATAAATGTCGTACTCGAAGTATGGTACGAGTCGGACAATCTTTATATGAAACAAAAACTTGAATCTTCGCTAATATACATGTACATGGGTGTGTATAGATATGTACATGTATGTTTATGGGAAGGAGTACAAACTATTACTACATGTAGTTTGTACATACTTGTATCCACAATTCTATACTACCTAAATGTACTAGTTTTAAATTTAAAGACAGTTGTAACTATACTAAAAAAAGAATCTCAACATTACATGTATGTACTTAAAATCACATATCT